GGGCAGAAGGCTGGCGGGTGTGGGGGTGCAGGGCAGAAGGCTGGGTGTGTGGGGGAGTGGTTCAGAGGTCAGGGCAGAGGGATGTGGGAGGTTCAGGGCAGAAGGCCGGGGGTGTGGGGAGATTCAGGGGTCAGGGCAGAAGGCTGGCGGGTGTGGGGGTGCAGGGCAGAAGGCTAGGTGTGTGGGGGGGCTCAGGGGTCAGGGCAGAGGGCTGGGTGTGTGTGGGGATGCAGGGCAGAAGGCTAGGTGTGTGAGGGGGTTCAGGGGTCAGGGCAGAGGGCTGGGGTGTGTGTGGAGGTGCAAGGCAGAAGGCTGGGTGTTGGAGGCGACTCAAGGTCAGGGCAGAGGACTGGGAGTGTGTGGGGGGTGCAGGGCAGAAGGCTGAGTGTGGGGAGTGCAGGGCAGAAGGCTGGGGTGCTCGGCTCATTGGGGTGCTCCCAGCCCCCTGCCCTGAGTGGCTCATGGCCGGGGGCTGGGAGGGATATGCCCTGTTCCACCTCCTTCCCCCAGACTCTGTCCCTACCTCTCTCTTGGTCCTGTGGCAGCCAAGCTTCCCTCCTTCCCCGCTTATTCCCCCAGCTTGGCGCTTTCTGGCCCCTCCACCCCTCCTCCTTCTCCTCCTCCTCTCACTGGGCAGGCCACGTGCCACTCAAAATCGGCTCGTGTGTCGTGTTTGGCATGTATGCCATAGGTTGCCAACCCCTGGATTAGACCATCTAGTGGTAAATCTTCACACTGTGCGATAGAATGAACTTGGTGATATTTTTTTCCTCTAAGGAAAAGTTAGAAATGTTTTTCCAGTGGAAAAGCGAGCTAACCTTTTCAGTAGTATGTAATTTCCTTGGTACAGTCACACACAATTATGTATACTGTGAAGAGAGCACAAGTGCCAATTTGTGCTTTGTTTTTCTAAGTATAACCATGCAAATGGAAGAAGATAAAACAGAAAACACCCACAAGGGCACACAGAGTCCATTCTATGATGTATGTGTGCTGTGTATTAAAAGTTGGATGGAATGGAAAAAGAGAAGTTGAGCAATCCGCGTGGTTAATCTATATTAATTCTTTAGAAAAAGGCCCTATATGTTCGTGCTAGAAAATTTGTTTGCTAGAGTACTCAGAGATAGAGAATGCTGAAGTGGCACAAACACAATTCACTTTAAAAAAGGGAAAAGCACTGTATTAATTTGCAGTTTTCCCTCTGAATTTACACCAGTGTAACTGAGGACACAATTTGTGTTTTATTAGTCCAAACTATACAAATGGTTGCTTTCCTGACAAATAAAACATCCCGGGAAATGCCTGTTAAACTTGATTGCCAGAAGTGCAATTATGTCAAAAACAAACTGTAAAATTTAGATTTGCAGGGTAACAAATCTGATAAATCATCATTAAAATATAATTTCTATAGAGCAATGTGGTCTGGGAAGAATTTGGCAATAATACAATTGCAACATTGTTTGAAACTGGGGAGTATTTTTTAAATTAATTTATTCTGACAATGGCTTGATACATATTACCCTTAATGTGTGTGTAGGAGGATTTGCAAATGCAGTCAACAACATCCTTGTGGCATAGTCTTGACTAGAGCCAGACAAGTAATAAAAAAAAAGTCTTTGGATTCAGAATATATAATGGCATTCACCAAATCAATTATTGTTGCATTCTTTTGACAGATAATCTACCCAGCTCTATAGCTGTATGAAAAAAACAAACCAAAAAGCTACAGATACTAAATAATACAAAATTTATGTTTTAACATTTGACACATATTAATATATATTTGACACATGTTAACTGGCCAGATCTTGCCTTGACTCTTGATGAAGGTCATGTGTTTTGGCAAGCAACTACAGTACTGTATCTTCTGAGAATAAAAGTAACCTTTATCTAATGATGGTATTGATTTTGTGTTTTCATATGTACTGTGCCAAATTCATGGGCCATATCTCCTATATATTTTTATCTTTTTTAGTGGAGGTGATAGTGTTAATATTCAGTATGAGTGTCTAATCCTTTTTTTGAATAACATTAAAGCTGTTTGCCTCAATTTCATGGCTGTGAGTTCCCCAGGTTAACTATATGCTGTGTAATGGCCTAGTCCTCCACACACTTTAAAATCAAGTTATTCAGGGGTTCACATTTTTCACCTGCTTAAATATTTTCAGGGTCAGGCCCTATAAAGCATTACTTTTAACCATTTTTAAATATGTTGTCCTTTAACTTAGTTTCCTTATTCTTGTATTATGTGCAACTGACCTTCACGACACCACCCATTATCTCAGATATGCTTCTTCTATAATGTCCCAGTCCCTTTGTCTTCTTCACCCTAAACTAAAGTTCTAACGGTTTCACTTCCTCTTTCTATGAAGTCCATTCTTGTTGCCCTTCCCTGGACCTTTTCTATTTCTACTAATTGTTTTGTGGGTGGGATGACCATACCAGCCATGCTGCCCATATTAGGTAAGGAGAGAGTCTGGGAGCTTTGTGGAGGAGCTGCAGATGGCTGGAAGTGTGCAGAGTTGCTACTGTATTTTCACAGAGATCTCCACTCCATTTGTGGGTATCGCGCCCTATACCTGCTGTGAACCACTGCTGGGACTACACATTCAAGAAGATGATGCAGTTAGAACTGTGTTTCATCAGAAGCTGAGTGTTTTGAGATGTGAGTACTCTCTTTTCATTTGCTTACCCAGAAGAGGAAGGTATGACCCACTGATTTTAATGGAAGTTAAGGGCAACAGGAGAGCCCAATATCATGAGGTACAGTGCAGGGAGGAGAGGAACCTCCACGGGGCTTCTCCTCCATACAACTGGTCAGGGAGTAGGTGTGCAAGGATGAGAAGTATGTGTAGCCTTGTCTCCACTCGCCCAATGCATGGACCACATGGCTGAGCTGGCAAAGAGAGGGAAATATTAATATTGTGCACCAAATAAAGTCTGGTGCAGATTACATCTCCCTTAGGGCAAGTAGGAAACCAGAGACCAAATTGTGAACAGTCTGGCCCTGGGAACAACTCCATGCCTCCACTTAATTGGGGATTGTGGTAGCGCCACAATTAAGGCCTTGGCTAATAATAAAATAAAAGTACCATACAATATACCAAAAATCAGGAGTGTAAAATATAATTGCATAAGGCTGTTATTAGGTATATAACTGTAGCGGGGTGATCACCCACTCCAGCCCTGAAGAGTTACAGCCAGCCCTGGGAGAGGGCTGGGGCTGCAAGCCAAAGATTAGGCTGATGGGGAAGGCAGCCACAGCTGGCCCTATAAAAGGCTGTGGGCCAGGAGCTCAGGCAGTCTCTCTCTAGAGAGGGCTGGGGAGTACTGGCCTGGAAACCCCCCAGGCTGCAGGCCTTGCTAAAGGCCGGAAAGGGTACTGGGGTTGCAGAGGTGCAGCCCAGGGTAGGAAAAGGTCCAATCCCCCCTCCCCACCTCCTTGCTGATGATGAGTGGTTGATAGACAGCAGTCTGCACCAGTGAGTGGGGGCTAGATGGTGACTGGCAGTAGCCACTGAGGCAAGGTTGGGATAGAGGGTTGGGGGTTCCCCTGGGTGGGAAGACCCAGAGAGTGGGTGGTACTGCCAGGGCAGCACCCAAGGTAAAGGGGCACCAAGATCCAGGAGGGACATGAGGGCCTGAGGCATGTGGGATACTGGCTGGCAGAGGGCGCTTCAAGGCTGGAAAAGCTAATTCCCAGGATGACCAGCAGGAGGCGCTGCGCCGGTGAGTCGGTGCGTCGCTACAATAACATATCTACATGCATGCAGCTTCCAATTGTGGCACATGAAGACAAACAAAACAATATATCAATCAATCCTCTACTAACACAGTTTTTCTGTCTTTTTATACCATGTGAAACAAACAACAATAATGACCAAGAAAGAAGAGGACAGAAATGTTGATGTCTGGAAGGTACAGCTGGGCTATGGTGGGAAGTATCATTTTGATGCTGCTAAGGCTATTTCCCAACTAAGTTCCCCATAAAATTACAGCTGTGAGCAGGTGGCAGTGATCAGCCCTTCTCTGGCTAAGTGTGTATGTACAGCATGGGGACTGGCCTCTCATAGAATATGCTGTGTTTTTTCATGCTCAGATGAAAACCTAGTTTTATGATGGCAGACAAACCAAACAAAAAAAGAACTTCACAATAAGACAGTAAAGTGTTTTATTCCAAAGCCTCTGGTGTTTTGGTTTAATTTCATTTACACAATGTACTGTATGACTGAATAAATCTTTAGAAAAGAGGCCAGAGGAGGTAACTTCATTTTTCTCCTGTGTAACGGGTTGAGGGGAGGGTGAAGAGGGTTTATAGTAACTGGAAAAAGTACAAGTCTTTTTCCTACTGCTTTTTTCCATGGAGAATTGATTTGACTTTTCTCCAAACATTTCCTGTACTTACAGAAAGGAAATGTTTGTACCTTATTTCTGATGTATAGAAACACTGTAATGGCTTGCTCACAAGGATGGAAAATGTAAGGAAATTAAGACTAATTAATTCCTTTATGATCAGAATTTGTTCATACTGGAAAGCTACCCTGATATAGTATATAGCACACTGGAAAATCCCATTGCACCTAGCCAAGTTGGGGTGGGGGGTGGGGGGAAGCTTTCCTAAAAAGAAGTCTAATTTTGAGCAAACTGAGAATACGTTAAATTAAAAAATGGACTATAGAGAAGTTAATTTACTAAAGTATTGGGAGACTAGTTTATACTGTACTCAGCTCATAGGGATTTATTAGCATACTGATGGCTCCCTCTCATTGGCACAAATTCACTGTTGGGTAAGCAGGTGCTATATTCCTTTGAAGTCCATGAAGTTATAGCTGTCGGCATCAGCAGTGATTCTGGCATGGTGAGAGGGGAGTATGCCAATATTAATAATTTAATTGCTTTAATTCACTGTCTTTATTGTGATTTGATTAAAGTGTGCATCCAAATGACAATTTAAGATGTCTCAGCATCTCTCTAAGATGTCTCAGCAGAAAACTTAAAATGTTATCTGGGTAACTTTTGTCAGTGATCACTTTATTCAGTGCTTTTTTTTTTAATGGAGATATCCTATCTCCTAGAACTGGAAGGGACCTTGAAGGTCATTAAGTCTAGCCCCCTGCCTTCACTAGGCAGGACCAAGTACTGATTTTGCCCCAGATCCCTAAGTGGCCCCCCCCTCAGGATTGAACTCACAACCCTGGGTTTAGCAGGCCAATGCTCAAACCACTGAACTATCCCTCTCCCCCTGATGGTCTTGGTGCCATAGCTACTGCATGTGCAAAAAGCAACCCAGGAAATTTAAGATCTTGGGAATGTTTTACCAGTTATATCAATACAGTTATACAGGCAAAAACCCTTCCCAAGTGACATAAGCTAAACCAAAAAAAGGTGCTTTTATACCGGAATTAGAGAGGGTTATGCTGGTGTAACTATATTGGTTATACTGAAAAACATAGACAAGGCCAGAGGTTACTGTTTACGTTAATGTTCCATTTGTCCAGACACTGTTGACATTAAAAAACAGAGGCGGGAAAAAACATTGACATTAGTTGCAACATGATGAAAAAGCAGCTGCTGTTATTTATGTTTAATCTATTAACATGACTTAGAGTTATTGTTTGGGAACCTCTCTATTTAAGTAATGAAAAACTTGGCTTGGGTAGCCAGTTCTCTCCCTGTTTTAATTAAAAGCTGTCAAAGCTTACCTAAAAACCTCCATTTAAAATAATTTCCAGTACTTTATAGAGTGCTCACTTCAGCCTTGATTATGTTTTGCAATCCTGTTGCTGGGTTGGAGAGCAATGTCAAGTCTAAATATACCATTCTCCTTTTGCTTCTTTCCCAGCTGCATTTTCCCACTCTCTGGGTCCACTTTGAACCAGAAGACACAATAAACAAGAACTCTAATCTACTCCCTCCTTATTTCCTCCTGCCAATATTCATTTGGAAAGATGATGCCTAAAATAAAAATCTTCCTTTCTGTCTCTTATCCCCATGCTAGCTGCTGACCTTACTGAACATCCAATTTCACTTTATACTATGTTAGAGTTACAGTAATGATTCAAGCCAACCTAGAAAAAGTTACAATTACTATTTGTACAAAACTGATCTTGATGGAGGAGCAGTTGTGTTATGAGCACTGGAACTTTGTTCTTTTTGCATTTTTTTAAATAGACTAAGCCATGTAACACCAGATACAGCTCCTTTTCCATTTTAATAGGTGCTTTATAAATTGTAGGTAAAATGCAGTAACTTTCTTAAGATTCTTTTAAATTGATGTCTAGCTGGTCTAGTAAATGATGTCTAGCTTGCCTGAATGTTGCACTCTCATAGATCCTGATGCAAATAAGGAAGATAGCATGTATGAATACTAATGCCTTTATAGTGCTTTGATATTAAATAATTTCATTGTAATCCTTAATATTGCAGTTTTATTTAACATGTTCATTATTGATGTAGATGAGCATCAAAAATAACATTAATTAAAGTTTAAAATGACACTAAATTGGGAGGAAACAAATACCTGTGGGGACAAGGAAGAAATACAAAAGGACCTAGACAGGCTAGAAACATGGCTGGGACATAAAAAAATGCTTGTGTGTGGAAAAAATGCAGACCAATGGATTTAGAAAAAATAATCTGAAGCACAGAGGGTCAAATCCTGGCTCCGTGAAAGTCAAAGGGAGTGTTGCCATTGACTTCAATGGAGCCAGAATTTCCTCCATTCATTCAATGGGAGGGAAAATATATCAATCAGTAATGCTGAAATAGACCTAACTGTGATGGAGGACACCACATTACACATACACTTGCAATATGATCTGGCTTCTGAAAAAGGCCAACATGAATTTTTTTGGATGTAAATGTAAATGCAGCATGTCATGAAAACAGTAGGTAATTATCTCGCTCTTTATGAATCTGATTCAACTATACCTTGAATATTGCATTGAGTTCTGTACATTTTATTAGCTTAGAGATATAGACAAACTGAAAAGAATTCAGAGAAAACCAGCAAAACTGATTAATGGGCTGGAGGGATTGGGTTATGAAGATTAAAAGAGCTAAATAATATGTATTACTTGGCTAAGTGCTGTTTAAGTGTGGGATTAAGGGAGCTATAACTATCTGCAAACATCTGAAGGGTGTAAACATGAAAGGAGAAGAATACACTATTTCATATGGAATATGGGGCTATAAATAGGAGAAAACTAAGAACTAGGATGAAACTAAGAGGGGGGAATTAAACTGAATATTGGGATACATTTCACGGTTAGAAAATGTAATAGGCTATAGAAAAGTTTCCCAAGGAAAGTGGTAGACCGCAGTACTTGGCACAATAAAACTAAGCTGCACAATACACTAAAACATGAAGGGAACAATCTTTTATTGGTAGATGGATGGTGTCATGTTTCCAGGGCTAACTGCACCTCTGTCCCCTTCCTGGTCTCTCTGAGTGCACCCCCTCAGGTGTCAGGCCTTATGCTTTTACCTATCCTGGAGTGGAATTTTGCAATACTCTGACTCATAGCCCATGCTCTGGGTGATATTACCCTGTATATCCACCGTTCTTACCAATCAGATCTGGCTGAGTTTGGGCGTATGTAGTTCTTCCCTTCAGGAATCTGTGACCAGTGGAATACAGTGACAAAGCAGCTTTCTGAAAACCAAGATGTTGTTTGTTTTGGCATAGGAACAAAGCATTTAGAGAAAAATGATTTTACAATGAGCATTTTACATGCATGTCTGTTGTACCTAAAGTTTTGCCATCCCCTGATGATAACCTAGGCAGGGCTAAGTTCTTCTGATGCCTCCATTCTGGTTCCTATGCCTCAGCGTGCTTTTTCCAAACAATTATTGCCCTCTTTTAATCAGAGTTCTTTTGATCTCCTGTGTTTGTTGGCCTTTTCCTATCCTGGTTCAAACCAGTTTTGTAGGTAGACTGGAGACAGCCTACAGAAACGGATAGTTCTGGCATTATTCCTTAACCCTTAAGTGTTTGCAGAGAGGTGGCTATCTTGAGCCATTCTTCTCCTTCCTGCTTGTTTTTTTTCCAGACAAATATGAGTTAAACAAATAGAGTCATATGGAAAACACACCAATAATAGGGCAACATACAGTGTTCATAAATGATTACAGGGCAGCTTGAACTCCATCACAGATGGGATGAATGATCCTAGTATTAGCTGTCACTAGCTGCTATTATTCTAGAATAAAGATACAGTGGTTTAAAACATCAATTTTACCAGTACATTTGCATGTTGCAGGATTGCTCCAAGACATACTAACACCAAAAGATAAAACCTGATGATCAGGAAAATGAAGAAACAAACATTATTCTTTCACATACACCTCACCCAACAACGGGCAGTGACCTATATTTTATTTTTGGTATACTATGTTGTTTCCTCAAAGAAAATATGGGCGTGGGGTAGAATGGCAGGTGACAAGAATAGGGGGACTGATTGCTGAAGGAATTAGGTATTAGTGAATACAAATCACGTCTTAAAAACAGCAAATCTTTGTTTGAACTGTGCAGAGCTGTTTGGAGTGCTTGACTATGTGTTTGCCTTTGATAAAAGTGAAAAGGACAGAGTTGAACACAGAAATAGTTACATTTTGATACAGACCTTTCTAATAAGTGGAAGGTGTTGCCTTCTTTCCAGTGATTGGGCAGGCTTGAAATCCCTGCTAAGCCACAAGAAATTGTCAGTTAACTCAGAAACAACAGTGCTATTGTTCACAGGGCTCCCTTATGATAGTGGAAAGGTTTCGATTTTTAAACCTTTATGGGGCAGAAAATGAGAATCTCACAACATGTCACAGCCCTAAAAAAGATGAATAAAGGATGAGATCTTGGTGATAAATTAATGGGAATAGTTTGTCACTAACTGGCAGTGGCTGCTACTTCTCCAGAATTTGGGTCACACAGCATCCTGCAAACCTCCCTGTAAATTCAGTCTGGCTTATGTGCAAATCACAAGCCATACATTCATAACGGTTTGCACATTTGTGAACACAAAATCCTATATTTGTGTTTTCATGAGCACAACCTTCGGTTTGTTGCAAGCTAATAGGCTTTGACAACTCCCACTGCTTCAGCCTGATGCCATCACTTTCAATAGCTGTGATGTCAAGATGGTAGAAAGCAAAGAAAAAGCCAGTCCTACAAATTTTGAGATAATTAGTAATTACTTGGGTGGATTCCAATTCCCATACACATGCAGTCTTCCTCTGACTCAGTCAACCCTTCCACCCACCTTTCTCAACCTAAAACAATCATTTACACACTCTACCCCCACTTTCTCCTCTCCAGAGATCAAGTGGCCTGGTCAATCTATTTTGAAGAACTTCCAAAACTATCATAATCCCCCTCCATTCATCAGAACCCTTGGTTTGTGAATGTAGCAGTGTCACTATAGTTAAAGTTGTAACTAGGTTATCATTATTAGGCTGATTTTTGGCACACCCTCTACATTCTTTTAAACTGAGTCTATGTACTTTGAACTTTGCATGTGTGGTCTATGCCTAAGGGATAATTTTTGGCTTAATCTGAGGTGAATCATAGAACTATTACTGAATAAATAGTCTTAAGGTAATAGATGTATTTCACTTTTTGAAAAGAATTCTAGCACTTATCGATTGTATATCTCATATAAATGGATTAGCCTAGAAACGTCAAATTTGCTTAACTCAAAAGCCCTTGAAGAGCTCTAGTGCAAAGATTTTTGAGATGTTGAGATACTTATTTTTGAATTTATTTACCTTGGTAATAGGAATGAATAAATACTCTGCTAGAATTTTATACAGTTGGCATATGTGTATAGATTTTAACATACATACACACTATATATGGCTTGTGATGCTTCAATATGCTGATGACAGCCAGTTGTATGTTTCTCTCTCTTTTGATACAGGCAGTACAACTGAATTACTTTCCCAGAGTCTGGTGAAGATTGGTTCATGAGAAACAGTGAAGTAACTGAGGCTCAACCCAGGAAAGACAGGACTGATACTGGTCGGCTGGGGGAAGCAACTGTGAGCTAGGGCAAAGATTATGTCTACTCCACCAATTGATGGTGTATTTCTACCATGTGTTATGCATGTTCACACCTAGAACTCTGATTAGATGTCCAATTATCACTGGATGATTATCTTCCATCAGTAAGGGTAAACCCCTCCTGCTGGCATAGGTAGTATCTACACTGAAGAGGTACAGCACTTAGGGTAGGAATACTCTAAATTACAAATGTGGTAGGTCTACCATAAATCCATTAACTTCAAGGGAATTACTCCAGATTTACACAAACTGTATTGTAGACTGTCCCATCATCACATTTTGCATTGATGAAATCTGCTATTGCAGAATGGAGATTAGTGTGTTAGGTGGCATCAGGTGGCTGTGGTGGGGAGGATTTTTTATGTTAACAAATATTTTTAGAGCAACCCATTACTCTGAATCTAATATTATTCTTACCATGTGATTCCTATTCTTCTTATACACTTTACCATCAATTAGCTATATCTGTTATCATTGTCATGAAGCTACTGTTGGTTAGTCTCCAAGAACAGCAGCATGAATATCTTTTGATGGTACTTTGGAGAAATGATTTGGGAATGCTAATTTCAGTTTGAGAACAAGTCTGGCTGTTGCTCTTGGGGGTTTTCTGCAGACACAAAGTTGGAACCAGTGAGATAAAAATGTATGATGCTTTCAGAAGGAGATTGGATGTCACTCATCACTGACTTTTTCTAGCTAAAATAATAGGAAGTGTATTTATATAAAAAGTGCACTGGGTGCAATGTATGAAGTGAATGATTTATACACAAAACAGACATTAGGTTATACTCTATATTTTTCACTGCTGGAAGTTACAGAAATAAAAAATATGGGTCAAATTTTGCCCTTACGCCTGTTTAAACCTCACTGATTGCAATGGATAGCAATAGATTTGTATGGGTTTAAGTGAAGGTAGAATTTAGCACAATATTAAAGAGTCTCTCTCTGTCTCTCCCTCTCTCGCTATTAGCTAGCAAACAGTGACTTGTTATATAGAAGGAAAGTATGGATACTTCACTCATTACACAAGTTAGAGCCAATAGTATTTTTTCTTATTTTCTATTTTAACATGTTTCTTTATTTCACTTTGTCACTATCTATGTATTAATAGACAAATTTGGGACCTGATTTTCTACCACCTAGCATTTTTTCTCTGTAAAAGTAATTTTTGGGGCTAGAAAAACACAACTACATTTGCAAATTGTGAGCACAAATGTCAGTGTCAGCCTTAATTAGGGTGAAAATGAAAGTTTTCAAACCTGTAGCATGAGTTGCACCATCACTTGAAAGTAAAGATCAAAGAAACAACATCTGCCAGTCCACTCTGATCTCCACTCTCTGACTTTCTCATTCCTTTGAGTGTGCCCATCAGATTACTTGTGTTGCTGCTTTTGATTTTTTGTTTAACATTTGTCTGTACAAATGCTAAATTCTTTGATCTATTTTTATTGAGTCAATGAGAATCTTTAGGTTGGTAAATAAAGTGATTTTTTTCTTCTTCCATGTTTTGTTGCCTCCTTGCAGCTCTAAGCTAAAGGCAGGAGCCCTTAGAATATCATTGAAAAGGAACTCAAATGCTGAACACCATTATTTTAGAAGGCATTGCACAAATGGCTTTGTTTTTAAAAGATGATATCATCCTGACATATTGCTCCTCATTGTTACAGCTAGTGTTGTGACTTAAGTGCAGTGGAATGTAAAACCAGCCCAGTTCGAATGTTTTTCATTTTTTAGCTCCTGAGCATGGTTTTGAAGGTATTTGAACTGAAAACATATTTCTTAAATTAAATCCTTGAGGGAAAATTAATCTGAGGTAGTTTTTGGATTTGATAGTCTGCTCTCCCTGCATGTTTGGATTGTGCTTGTTGATTAAATGTGTGGCCTATAAACAGGAAAAGCTGAGGATTCAAAGTCATGATGTACAGTGTGGACCTGAAGATAATTTTGGCCTTCATCTTTCATTTCCTTTTCCAGCTGGATGTGAGGAAAGGACAATATTGTTTTAAGTGTAGTCTTTTGCTACTTCTTCCTTCCTGAACCTAAGTTGGTGATTGGACCTTTTCATGCCCTAGCTGGTCAGTTTATGAGAAAAGTCTAACTACCTCTGAAGACATTGACTTTGTGAAGGCTTATTGCAAGGTAGGTTGAGGGTACTTGTACAGGACTAATATTATTCCCTATAGCCAACTTTCAGAGACCTGTGGAGGTAGACTTGAACTCATGGCATGGGAGAATGAAATCACATGATCTTTTTATTAATCGATTCTACAGACGTTGGTCTCCCTACAGCCTTGTTCCTAGATTGCAAATCACAACAGATGATTAGTATGACTTAAACCTCCTCAGTTACATTAAAACATGGTATTCAGCATAACTTTCTCTACTGCATTTTATTGAATCACACTGTTAAGGATTAATGTGGGAAATATTTTCCTCAATTCTGTGAAAAATCCTGCTGCAGGTGCTACATTTAATGACATGTCCTATAATGCAGTTCTGGCAGTTTATTCTAATCAGAATGATATTCCAATGTAATGCTGAGTTTGCTAGATCATCGGCCTTTGACTTGTAACTTAATTCCCTACAGGACTTGTTATTTTCCCACATCAATTCACTTCTAAACCTACCCTGATGGGTGGGGATCTTGAGTACTGTTTCCATGACAGTGCTACCTGTGATCTTTAGCATCATTACACAATACTAATTCATGTATAAAAATGAACTGAGTTTAAAGAAAAAGCTGTAGAAATTATTAGGCCTTAACTGTATAAAGATGACCTGTGTCATCTTCCCTTCCAGTGTCATGTGACATTGTGTTGTGCTGCAGTAGCTATGGTATGTTTAAAGAAAAAAGTTAAAAAAATCTACTTATAATTGCTGCACGAGTATATGCCTCATGGCAAATACAGGGCTATATGAATCTTTGAAGCTCTGCCACTGTTTGATAAACAATCTGAGTTATTCCCTTGTGACTTATGCTAGCAGACTTTTTAAAATAAACCACCACAAATTATTATTACATTGTATTCTGCTACAAATGAGTATTAATATGGGGCCACAAAGTATGCAACTCTATCAGTAGTTCTAGGAGGCTGTGGTAAACTACAATGGGGCCGTTACACTTTGGGGTGACCCCCCCCCCCTTGAGAAAATATACTATACTGAGGAAATTCATGACCAGATGCACAAATTCAGCTTAGGCAGGGTGACGTGACAAAAATAGAGTTGTACTTTTGCAATCCTATTTGATCAATTGATTTTTCAGTTAACCATTAGCTGAGGCATGGTCAGCACGAAACCTGTGACCTAAAATAGACTCTTCAGCACATTTAGGACACATATAGGAGAGCTCAATGGTGGGGGTACATTTTTAAAGTGAGCTCATGGGACAGAAATTGAGACTTGATTATCCAAGAAGATAGCCACTATTTTGGGGAGGGTCACATTTTGGGAGGAAGGAAAACCAAAAAATGGAAACTGAGAAAATTGCAACAATTTTAATTTTCATGTTTCACTGAAAAAATAAAAAATATTAGAAGAATAATTGCAACAATTTCAAATTTTGAAAAAAGATAATGTTTCATTGAGAAATATTTTCATTCGAAAAACTTTGACCAGTTCTAGTTGCTATGAAGATCCTCTTGGTGAGTCTTTGCTCTGTAGTTCTGAGACTCTAATAAAGAGAATCCCTTTCCACCTTGCCCTGACTGGAGATACACTATTCGGGCTGTGTACTGGATGAAAGGACTTGGGCCCGTATGTAAAATATTTCTCCCAGTGTTGATCACACACAGCACCAATTTCCATCAAGAGCAGAATTGGAATCTAGAATAATTCTGCACCACATATTACTATTGGCTATCCCAACAAAAATTAGTAGTTTACCAAAGCCTCCACTTCCTTTATGCTACAATATAGAAATGAGAACCTATTTTTGGCTGTTATTTCAGTGCAACTGAAAAAATGCTGTATTTTTTTCCTGCTGGAAAGACCATACAAACTGCCAAGTTCAAGAAAAATGCTTAAAAAAATGTTGAAATTCAGTTCATATCTATATATGGTATGGTAACCCTTTTAGTGTAATACTGGTATGCACAATTGCAGAGGGGTTTACACTTAGTTTCAGATATGGAATACAAATATCATGTATGAACTAAGACGATAACAAGGGTGAATTCTGAAGTTGCTCTGAAATAACTGAGAGGAAAAATGGGCTCTATATTTGAAGTATGCACATGTATCAGTGATTCTACAGTCCTATGGTAAACTTACAGGCACAGTGAGGCCATTACACTTTTTGGGTGAGGACATTTACATGCATAGTACCATGTATCTTGTACTATCATGGGTATTATAAGGGTTCCACAGAAATATAAGCCCACATATAGGAGAGCAAGATTGAACCTTAAATAAGTGTTAAATAAATTATTTATCTACAAAAAAGCACAGTGTTTGAATGGCAACAAATAAATATTTAGATATGTTCCTGGGTTTATGAGGTTTTTAAAGTTTTGATAATCAAATTGTCTATAAATCATTTTATTTCTACTTTGGGGGAGTCATATTTCCTGAGTGTAGCTAATTCCTTAACAGTACTGAGAATCTCATGAAGATGGCTAATTGGAGTCCTTCCAGAGATTGTGTTAGCTTTGCAACCATTCGTTAAATGTCAGAGGGCAAAAAGCTGCAATTGGGTCAACAGGGCAGATAGCTGACATGGCAGAATAGAAAACAATGTAACATTTGTGACTTCACCTCTGATTCCCCTTTTTTAATGGAGGATTTTTTTCTCATTGAAATGTCTGTGTCAAATTCAGAAATTCTTTTGTTTTTTTTTCTACTGAAGTATGTGTAATGTTCATGTTGCTGACAGTTCCAGTCAGAGGGCTGTATTTATAAAAAAATATGGGCCATTTTCACACAGAGGTCACATTCCATATATGAAAAAAGTGTGGAGCATTTAAAAAAAATTCATGTAAAAATGCTTTTTTCCCTATAAATTATCCAACTTTATTTTCCCCGATGTAACTGGAGACATCTGTTATGTGTAACAAGGGCTCATAAATCTGCAAAGAGACAGAGAAAAATGAGCATTCCTAGATCTTACACAAGATACATATATTCTTTTCATACCCTGAAAAATGTAAATTTCCCAAACTCAGGGTCACAGCATGTGCAGCGATCCATGTTGCAGGGAGGCTGAGACCTACAGAGGTATTTTGTTGGGTGCAGTCATTTTCCTATCTCAGGACAGCTACTCACATTTTATTAAAACATCAATCAGAATAATTGACAGCAGAAGTTATTTTATATGTAAATGTTAAATAGCAGGAAGATCTGAAAATGAGAAAATGCAGCGGAGTATTTTTTGTAATAGGCAAATTACTGTAATAGTTATCTGTTTCCACTTTTCTTTTTACCAGGAATGATGTCTGGAAGAAGATAGCTGGATAGTGCAAACAGTGTGTATTTGACATTCGTTTATTGGAGCAATATTTTTTTGCTCTGCTATGTAGAGAAGTGAGGGACAGAGAGATGGTGCGTGGCAGAATCTTGACCAGATGGTTTCAGAGGTAAATCTACAAAAAGATTTTTATTTTATTCTTCTAGGTTCAGAGAGTACTTGTACAACCTTTTCTGAAGCACATTTTTTGTAGTTATTTCTGGTGTTTAACTATTCATATTTAAGCTTGAAAGCTTGTCTATCTCACCAACCGAAGTTGGTGCAATAAAAGATATTACTGCACCTTCTCCCACCTTGTCTCTATAATATCCTGGGATCTGCAAGGCTACAATAACATTGCATATATATTAACATGGAGCGGAGTAGACAATATTAAGCCTGTCAGTAAAATTTAAGGGTAAACACTACTCCTGCTAGCACAGGTGGTGATTAAAAAAAAAGGAATAAGAAGTCATTCTGTAGTATGCAAGCAGTGTTACACATGAGGTGGCTGGCAAAAAGAATCTTGCCACGTTGCATATCATGTACTGACAACTACAGCCTTCTAGTGTGACAAAGCAAACTGCATGGTCAAATGGAGCAGGCATTAAATCAAATATCAGCAACAAGCACTAGATGACATCACATGTTGCTTCTTTTGAACTTGATCCAAAGGCCATCAGTCAATGAGTCAATAGTAAGATGCCCACTGATTTAGTGAGCTTTGGATCAGGTCTCTAAAAGGAGTGGAAATATGCACTCTTCCAGCCCATGCACAGTGCTGTCTGAAGCACGGCATTCTGGTCTATGGAGGTAAAATTGCCCTTACATAAGGCATCTGCCAGAGTATCTATGCATGTACTGCTGCCAGTGCCACACAGACTTCGCTACAGCCTGGATTTGGCATTAGTAATGATAAATCTTTCTCCACAATTTCCTCATAGTTCACTTTCTTAAAGTAATTGGGTCTAAAAATGAGCTTCTCATCTTCTAGCTCATTGCGTCTTCTCTCCCTGCTTCCTCCATCTTTTTTGACAACTCTATGAGCCTCCCTGTCATCCAACTTTGCAATCTTGGGTTATTTTTACTTCTCTTACCTTCTTCCTTCACATTCCCAGGCTCTCATCAAGTCCTATTGCTCTTTAACTCCCCAAAATGTCTTCCTCCATCTGCTTAAACTCTACCTTTATCAAGGTACCTAAAACTTGCATTTCTAGTGGGGGTTTTTTAAACAGAAGAGCCTCCTCCCCTAAACATCCAATCCTTCTTAAAACATCATAAAAAAAGGGCACAAGACCAACTTATTTTTTGTTGGACTGGGCTTTCTTAAATCCTGCAAGGTTTGCGTCATATGGGCTAAATGGACCAGCCTCTGCATCATGCATTTTTGGTACTGGACCAATCAAACCCTGCAGGCTCTCTTCATAGTGAAGTCAATAGACAATCTTAGGTTTAAGACAGTTTAAGTTTAATATGGGGATAGGTTTAGGTGGATCCCATTGTTGAGACTATTTTAAGTCTGAGTTCAGCAACTTTGAAAACCAAGCTATACAGTAGGTGTCTAAAGTTGGACACCCAAAATTAGAGAGAGTTTTGAATATTATGCCTTTAATAACTGTGACAGACTGACAATACATTGAACAAACCTTATGGAATTAAGATAAACTTTAATCAGTGTAGAAGTCTCGGCCGAGGTTCGGCCCTCAGTGGGGCTGTGGGGTATCCCACCGCCTCACTCTGGTCCGCCGTCAGTCCCGGTCCAGCAGTAGTGTGGGATAGCAAACACACGGTTAGGGGCTCAGGCCCTTAAGCAGGGGCTGAGCCAATGGATCAGAAAAAGCCCCAGGCCCTCAATCAGGGTGGGGCAGCAACCACGCAGTCTGGAGCTCAGGCCCTCAAGCAGGGACTGAGTCAGTGGTTGTAGCAGCCCAGGCCCTAGGTCAGGGCGGGGCAGCAATCAAATAATCAGGAACTCAGGCCCTTAAGCAGGGGCTGAGTCTATGAGCGAGAGCTCCCAGCCTCGCTAGGCCAGGAAAAAGGAGGAGTCTGCCACCCAAGGGGTGGGTGGCAGGGGGGACGCAGGCCCTCCCACTCCACTGCGTCCCAGCCGGGGGCCCTAGCAGCGGCGGAAACTCGCTGCTGTCAGTGGGGATCCTGGCCGCAACACACTGACATCGGCTCTGGCAGGGCAGCAGCCAGACTGGGGTCAGCTGCCCCCGGGCTACTTCCACACTCCCCCTCGTAGGGTACCTGGGCCATACTAGTGTCCTCAGTGGTCTCAACCAGCATCGCTTCCTCTGGGTAGGTAGCGAAGGGTAGGCTCGGCTCCTCCTTGGGGTAGCTGGAAAGGGGCAGGCTCGGCCAGTCCTCCTCAGGGTAACGGCGAAGGGTAGGCTCGGCTGGCCTGGTGAGTCAGCAGGCCGGTTGCGGCCTGCTGCTGTCTCCCAAGCGGGAGCTCAGCCACAGACATCTGCTCTCTCTGCCGGCTTGTTTTCCACTGAGCTCTGCAGGCGGGCTTTTATACTTCCGGGTCGGCGCTGTGACCTCTGAGGGGCGGGCGCCGGACCTGGTGGTTCTGCCCACTTTGGTGTTAGGGGAGGTTCGGCCCTCAGCGGGGCTGTGGGGTATCCCACCGCCTCGCTACAATCAGTTAATCTAAACCTTATTAAACTAGGCTTAATACATCTGGGGTCCATTGTATGAAAAATGCAATTGTTTGTGTTCTTGTGAGATTGTATGTAACTTTGGGTTTGCAAATATAATTCCTCCAGTTAACAGCTCTTTGAAGCCACCCCTTGGAGAGGTTCCCATTTACTAGTTCAAACGGAGTTCTCCAGGGATCATCCGACAAAGAAAAGATTTTCATGTAAATAGCCTGGTGTTAAAGAGGCTCAGGGTCTTTTTCCTGATTCAGCAAACGGACAGGACCTCTGGTCCATGGGGGCCCCCAATCCTTAGGGAAGAGTTGAAAGGACTGGGCCTATTGAGGCTTGTTCTGAGCTGAAGCTATGATGAACTTGAATCCATAAGGAAAACCTTGGGTGTGATTTTTGAAGGACTGCTTCTACCAGAGCCCATGTTATGGTTGGGATGATCTCTGCTAAGCTTATTAGCATGCATGTAGATGCTTTTATTGTTTGTAATATGTTTTCTCTGTAGTGCTTTTACCTTAAGAATAAAATAGGCTTACATAGGAAGTGCTGTGTGTTACCTTATAATGGTGGGCAATAACTCTGTTATTAGTCTCTGAAGAGAAGGCAAGACAGGAATAACACAATGAAGTCAGGGACCTGTTGAACATGGAAATATCCTGGTCAAAAAGGAGAGAGATGCATGCCTCCACCCAAGAAAGGCAACAGACAAGGGAACTAACAGCTTGAGGCTTAGTGCCCTTTCTGTACCATAGAGGTGGAGCACAGGTGTGGTTGCCCTGAATTATGACAATAAACCTCTGTGTTCAAAACAGAAGAGCAGGAAATATGTAGATGGTATGTGGCTTTTGTTTGTAGTTTATTTCTTATGTTGTGCCAAAAGTGTGCAAGATGGTTTACCAACAAGTTTGAAGACTATGGACTTGATTCATTGTAAAGGAAACATGACTACCCCCTGGGGAATGCTTCTGATGTCGGGGAGTCCTCAGAAGACATGGAGTTGGTATAGAAAATGACTACAAGGTTGTAGGAAAGGGAGCATTGGGGTAGTGCCACTAGTGATAGAGAAGGGATGAAGAAAGGAGGGTTTGAGTGAAAATAAATAGGCTCATAAGTGCCCAAGTCAATTTTTAAAATGTGACTGAAGTACCTGTTTCACTTAGGTGCTTTCAAAAATTTTACCCTTTTGGTTGGTATTCACATACTTTTCGTGGAATCTTTCAAGCTGAACCCATAGCTTAACCTCTAATAACTTCACTTACTAGGTGTGCTTATGCCAGGCAAGAAAGTAATAGCAACACATGCTTGCAGTGTGTGTTGTGTCCGCTTCTAGTAACTAGTCTACAAGGAGGATAGCGGCCTACTACAGCTATCAGCTAACACATTTAGCTTAAGTGATGGAGGGTTCTGTTGTGGCCCTGAAAGCCATGGGTTGAAATCTTGCTGATCAGTTTTGTCATGAGTCTTTACATAATTTACTATACTGCAGTAAAACTGGGCACTAAAATGAATATGGTAGAGCCTTTATAGTCACTCCTTATTCTTTATTGACAGAAAAAACTCAGTAGAAGCATTTATATTAATTGAATATAAAATTAACTAGAAATTGGGAATCCTAGTTGGACAGAAAAGAAAAAGACAGATAAAATATGTTGTAATATAATTAATAAACATGCAAATAACTATACCTAGAAATCTGTGTAGGGGCGCATTCTCTACCAGCCAACCAATCTGAGAATAACACTTCTCTTTTCTTTGTGTGAAAAACCACTGTACTAATTCCCAGCACCATAGTAGTATTTCTTAAGCTTATCTACCCATTGAGGTTCATTAGAAGAGGCAGGAAACACACTCTGTGACTATTACTGATGTCAATATCAAGGCCATTGTGCATGTGAATATTGACTGCTGAGAATAAGGAAAGCGATATGATGATTTGGAAAACTAGACTTTTTCCAAATAGGCCACTACTGCCTATTTTGGATGTACAGAAAGATTAGCATTCATTCTACCATGAACTGGGAAAACACTATGAAAGTATTTTCAAAATTTAAATAAAAATAGAGATTTAGAATCAGAATTGCTTGGATCAGAAGTAATTTTGTTGACCCCTCCCTCCCGCCCCCATCTAAACCTTCTAAAATATGAATTTTTAGATTCTGTAATCAAAGGGAAATTACTTGGAAGCCTTAAAATAAAAAAATGTTATTTTTAGAATCTTTCTACAGTACTTGTTATGAAAAGAATCTAAACTGAGCAAAATGTATTTTTCCTTCCATAGCATGGATGAGCCTCAAGAGACTTTCTTCCTGTAAGACTGCCAAGCTCAGCATGATATTCTGAGATGCTGAGCAATTTTGATTTACATTTTGTAAGGATGTCTCCTCCAACTACTGGGAGATATACTGATGGATTAGTGAGCGATGGAAAGCTTTGCAGGAGGGAAGGACCTAATAAACAGAAAGTGAGCTAGGAGAGTATAATACTAATTATGGTTGACAGGTAAGCAATGAAAAGTCATGTGGAAAAACAACCCTTCCCTGTAGGATATCTTGAAGACCATCAGTCTTTGGAGATTCTCTTTGATTCCCATCCATCATCTGAGCAACGATGATGGGCACGGATTTTTTTTACGCAAAATTTTGGACAAGGTGGAGGTGGAAGATGTGAGGGTGCCATCTCATCATGCTCCCTCCTCCACCTCTTCTGCTTTTGGGCCTGCTCCAGAAGGAGAAATGGTGGTTCTGTAACCTTTACAGATAATAGCATTAATTAGCACCTTTCAAAGCAAATAAAAGATAGTGAGCTACTTCTCCTGCTAAAATGAGTTGAAAATGAAAAACTGTATCTGACTGTGTTTCAGAACATACGTGCTTTTTTACAAGTTTTATAAAAAAACACAAGAAGGTGATATTTACACGGAAAACTGAGAAATTAATTTTTGCACTGATCTTTCACTTGTTTTAAAAATTTTGTAGTTAAACTGATAAATTCCAAAATAGAAAGTGAAAACCAAGGGCCTTCCACATCAGGTATCACTAATCAAGTAATGTATTTTGTTGTTATTAATATTGATCTGTTGTATTACAGTAGCACTTAGAAGCCCTCTCTGAAGTCCAGGTGTAGGTGTAGGAGCATGTTGCAGGCAGAAGGGAGAGAAAGCAAATGTGGGAGGTGGCTGACGCTGGAGGAGAATCCTAGTACTTATGCCAGCTACAGGGATTCTCATTTGCTGAAGCTGTGGGGAAGTCCATTAGCAACCTGTAGGGGGTTCCATAAATTAGATTATCTCTCAGAGCTGTCTGCTTTAGGTGAGAGGCTACTCCATCTGCAGCAGCCCATAATATAATAGGTGTAAAGGTGGCATAAAAACCAATGTAGCCCCTTCCTGCCAGGGCTCTGAATTGATTCCCCTGGCCCAATGTGCCCATGTAAACAACCGTTTTAAACAATAAACTTACTCAAGTCTGACATCAGCTGATGAGAGTAGAATGTAAGATACAAAATACTAGAATTAAAAGCCCCCCTCCCCAAAAAAACAACCCTGAAGAACAGAAGTCCCAGTGAGTATCGCACAGATGCCTCTGCATCTTGGCCTTTTGAATATTTCTTTTGTAATGTTTATGTGGTACAATAAAGTTTTGCCATCATTGATGTAGGGCTTTACACCATCAATGAAAGTCAACAGCTTGAATTGCATCTACCTGGAAATGAATAGGAATTCAGTGCAGTTGTCTAAGAACTGGTGTAAGATGCTCATTGTGACTAACCGACAGGTTCATGTGAGTTTTCTTCATGAGCAGATTCTAGCAATAATCTAGTCTAGAGGTCACAAAGGTTTGGATAACTGTAGAAACATCCAAATCAGTGAAAAATAGTAAAAAATGCTTTACCTGAAGTAGGTGAAAGATATTTTTGACCCAAGCTTCCATCTGATATTTGAAGACTACACCAAAATCTAAAAGTGCCCCCAAATTTTGCCACTTAAAAAATGATGGATAAATTCCCCAGTGTGGAAGCATCCCTGATTTGCCCTCAAGATATCTATTTTGAAAAAGTAGATTAATGTGGGTTTCAGTACTTCTCTAGTAACAAACATGCCAAGGATAATCAGTGGAAAATATTCTTATAGTTTTAAGTGAGAGTAGGATTTGACATCTTCTGCCCCAACAATGACCTTAAAATAAACTTTCCCAAAATCTCTTTGGGAGTGGTGGTAGCCTTATGTGTTATACTAATCTGTTTAACTGAATAACAATATAATCAATTATCTAAATATTAAAGGCTAACAGATTAAAAACATCTTCCTTTTGTGAACTCAACACATGAGCTTTATTGGGCAGAATATGTATTCCTATCCCTTGGTGGCTGCCAGCTGCATGGTATTCTTTTCAGCCAAATCTAAGGGAGAAGCACAGTCAAAACATGGGGCACAACCTCTGCACCTGTCTAGCCCAGTGGGCTGAGGAAGCTTCTGAAGGCATGCACAGGTGAGAGAAAATTTAGGTTAGCAATGTCTCAAAATTGTCATTTGCCTATATTACTCACTGAATGCCATGTATTGTTGTCATATCATTTATTTAATTGTTGTAAATGGATGAAGGTACCTCCCATAAGCAGATAGATCTGGAAATGTTAATTTGCTGTTGAAAAAACAGTACTGTCCTTCCAACAGTCATATCTCAGTACGGTAATAACATTTTCAGGTTCTTCATTTTGTGCTATGCTTACACAGTACAATGTTAGATACCACATAAAAGTCTAAGATACTGTAGACAGGAGATGGTCAGGGACAGCTCCAGGCACCAGCGCACCAAGCACGTGCCTGGGGCGGCAAGCCGTGGGGGGGGGGGGGGGCAGGTCAGGGAGCCTTCGGCGGCATGCCTGAAGGAGGTCCGCTGGTCCCGCGGATTTGGCAGCAATTCGGCGGTGGGTACACCGAATCTGCAGGACCGACGGACCTCCCGCAGGCATGCCGCCGAATCTGCATTACCAGCGGACTTCCGCAGGCGCGCTGCCGAAAGCCACCTGACTGCCGTGCTTGGGGCGGCAAAATACATAGAGCTGCCCCTGGTGATGGTGTACTTTTGGGACTCCTCACAGTGATTTAAGAGTATATAGTAACAGACTGCTTCAAATTGTTACCCTTTGAGGAGAACTCTAGATTACAATTGGAATGTGTAAATGTGTAATACCAAATGTACATATGGTCTAAAGTAAAGATGGACTGAAGTGTTGGATGGCCATTGAATGACTGTCATAATACATTTGCTTCATCTCTAAAGTCGTTATCATATTGGGATATGACTTTTGCACGTCTGCATGTCCTAGTTGCAGCTGAGAGTATAAAATGACATGCTTAATATACCCTAATGAAGAGTGTACTTGTGATATTTCTGGCCCAGACAGAAACACAATTTTCTAAGCAGGACTATTCTCACAAGATTTCCAGCCCAAGTTTGCTTATTTGGATGGTTAAGAGAAAGAGTTATCATTGAGGGTGTAATTTGAAGACAGTGGGGTTGCACAGGTGGATATGAGGGTATAATTTGGATTGCAGAACCTTTATTTCACCTTCTGATGCTAGGCTGAGTCTGCAGATCTGTCAGTTATAAAGAAAAGCTCATCTTTTTACTTGTAAACTAAGCAGATTTACAGTGGAAATAATTGAGAGGAAATAAACAATTTGCCTCTTGTAGAGTCATTTTTTCATGGTATAATTGCATTTGAAGGTCTGAACTGAAGGGAAACACCACACTTTTTTGAGGTTCACTCACAAGGTCACAAAATATGAGGATTTATGGTGCAACTAAAATGTTGGAGTGAGAATCAAAGGTGGACATCCATGTCCTTTATATTATGCTTTTCTCAAGATAATAGTTATCCTTTGTGGGTTATCTAGTTTTAGGCATGGTTTCCAAAACAAACACTATTTGCTCCTTAATTTGGAAATCCTTGTAATGCCGTAAAAAACTGAAATTCTTCCAGCAATTGTTAAGCAACAAGAAAAGGCCCAAATTACGGAATTCATTATGGGAATTTTCCAGAGTTAATGAGGAAATGTGAGGCTCTCAGTCTGCAGTTCTGATCCAGCTTGCGGGGGCCGAGGGGGGGCAGGGGTGTAGTGACACAATGACTAGGCACTGCTCCAGCAGGCCATTTCCTAATGAAAACAGTTATTATTGTGCCATTAACATGATAAACAGCTTGCACCACACTAGTATAGAACCTGCAAAATCTAAGGAAAAGGAAGCAGCACTATCTTGAGTCACATCCCTCCTAAGGAAACTTTACCATCAGCGTGGGTCATAATAGTGTTATGCCCAAAATAGCTTGGACAATTAAAGTCTGCATCAGTGTCACTTTTTCCCCTTGAGTGTTTGCCACATAAAGTAAGGCATTTAAAATGTAAACTTTGGCATTGGAGTGCAGTGAGCTTTCATCTATTCTTGTTTTCTTTACCCTTGGCAAAGCTTTTGTCTTGGCTAGCTCACATCTACACTTAAATGTGGATTAATAGGGAAGAAAATCTGTAGGGAGACTATGGCAGAACTAGTAAGAAATAAGTAAAAAAGCCACTTTTCTTATGAAATACTAAGTGTAAAAAAAATCTTCCTGTTCATACTTTAAACTTTTTTTATGGCTAATATGAAATTCCTGTTCTAAAAGGATCAGATATCTGTTAAAAGTTCCCATGTCGTGTATACAGATAATGCTGTGGCTCATTTATAATAGCCTGCATTGCATTTTGAGTTTGACAGTTAAATATTCAACGATCTACCACATAGAATGTTTAGTTAGGAAAGGATAATTTTGCTTGACCATATGACATGACATATTGGAAAGCAATGTTATCTTCTTAGCTCTGCAAACTTGTCTGTGATTCTAAAATCATCTCACCTTCCATGCACAGAACTCTCCTTGGCATCAGTGAGTATTCTTCCCATGTAGAGCGAGTTGGACATTTGAAAGTGGCATCCTCCATTTTCTGTCTTGAATACACAAGAAGGAACTTTAGAGATGATAGTGACTCTTGAGGGCTGCTCAAGAAATTGAATGATATAGTAGTGATATCCAGGAGCCAGTACAGTTTTGCCATCTGCCCCAACATTATTATACCATGACCATATGTCAGATAGATCTCACTGTAAATCAAGATGGTACAGCGAGGTGACGGAGTTATAAAGGACCCCTCTAAATAGGAGACATTAGTATTTTTTAGCTGTCAGGGGAAAAGTGTGGAATGAATGTTATATAGCATTTTTCAGTTTAAAAATGTTTAGTTTTTAGCTTCCAGTTTTTCACTGAAAAACTGAACTTTTTTGGACCAAATGCAGACTTTCTGTAAAAATTTGTTTTGTTTGAAAAGTCATTTTCATTAAAAAAATGTTTTAATGAAAAAAAGAAAACCAGCTATAATAAATTGTTTTTCAGTGGAATAACAAAACTCCTTTTGTATGCACTTCCAGTTTCATATAGGGTAGCATAATTTTTTGCCAGTAAGAACAATTTCAACATGTCAAGTCAATATGACAGAAAGAAGAACTTAAGTTGGCCTTAAAATTTGCTGGATCTGAATTATTGGAAAGGAGGAATTAGGCCATGAGTTGACTGTCTCCTCTTCTTTTTCCATAGCTGAATAGGAGGAAGGAGGAGGCGTTTTAGCAGAAGAACACATGACCAGCCCATATCTCTCATGGCATGTGGGGAACCTATGGCAGTGCCTGTTACTTTCAGGTCATTTTGCTCATTTGTGACCACATTATGCCTGCAATTATTTTTTGTCACCACTCTAGAGAAAAATCTAGAGTTCTCTTTGTGGCCTTTGCCTTATTTCCTCATAAGGGAATAGGGTTAATGTTCTTTTCGATTGTGCCAACCAGTATTTCCCAATAAACTAAATTCAGAAAATGGATTGATTTTAAGATGTATTTATGAAATACATAAAATGAAGTAGGTTAGATTTTTTAAATCTACCACTGTCCTTATGGCAAAAACCAGTATTGCTAGCTTCTTTGTGAGTTCGGCAATGGTGGCCAGACTGAGTAGGCTGCTCCCGTGCAGAGCTCTCTGTTGGCTAAAAACCAAATCCCTGGTATAAGGAATCAATAAAGAAGAAATAGCATTTTTTAAAGTTTTATGTAATTCTTTATTTAACGCCACAAAAAACAAACTCGTCTTAATATAACTTTTTCCTTAACTCACCCCACACAAAAAAAGCTCAGAGCAGAAGTGACAAGAGAAATTGTCACTTTGATATTGACCAAGGAGAAATTATACAAGTAATTGATGGTCATCACTCTAGAAACATGCTGGGCTCCAATGGATTTGAACTGAATTCAAAAATCTGTCAAACAAAACTCTTCCAATTGCTCCTTAAGGTGGGTGATTCTTCCAGAAATGACTCACAACACCACTCTTACAACCTTGGAAAAACAAAAAGATCTGGAAGACTGATAATCATACTGATCAATATCACTTCTGAATCTAGACTGTGAAATAAGTACTTATTTACCAGTTGCTAAACCCATTATTCCCTGTAGAAGTCTGTCTGCACAAGGAATAAGCTAGGGAAATGGTACTTTTAAAAATCAAGTTAGCTAACATGATTTGAAACCCCCTTAGCATCTAATGATTTGGTTAATGTTACAATCATATTAGCTAGTCGTATTGTAACCCAGAAAGAAGCCTAATTTAAAAAGCACCTGATTTCCTAGTTGGTTCTTCATGTAGATCAGGGGTTCTCAAACTGGGGGTCATGACCCCACAGGGGGTTGCAAGATTATTATGTGGGAAGTTGTGAGCTGTTAGCCTCCACCCCAAACCCCGCTTTACTTCCAGCATTTATAATAGTGTTAAATATAAAACACGTGTTTTAATTTATAAATGGGGTCACACTCAGAGGCTTGCTGTGTGAAAGGGGGTCAACAATACAAAAGTTTGAGAACCACTGATAGACCCTTATGGAGAACTCCCAAACCCTCTCTGCCTTCCCTGATGTTAAATGTTGCTGCTTCCCTGTTTTCTGCATGTAAATAGCAGACTTTGAGTCCAGGTGGTGGCAGAGCAATAGTAGAAGGACAGAGGAATTCCAAAGTAGAAAAGGCAAGTACCAAAGGGGACAAAGGGGGGCAGATCCAGGAACAGAGGCTGGGCCATGAAGCAGGATGGGATTGGGAGATCTGGTCCTGGCTGGCAAAGGGTGAGGAATGGTCCTCTTTGTTCTCTGGGTTGTCACTGTTGTCATTTAAAGGTGTCTCCACTGAAGTTTCTGCAATGTCTAAAGCTCACACTATCCTGAAAGATGGAGTAGGTAGGGGAGGGATGCAGGTCTGCAAAAGAAAACTTACAATGATTACTACTGTTGTACAATGCCTGGATGGCTCATGTTTGGCATGGACTATCTGTATGTTCTGACAAAGGCTGCCTTTGTAAAGCCCCTCCATAGATTTGCTAGAGTTACTCTGCTTCTATTTATAGATGACTAAATGAGTGCTTGTCTGAATACTGAGCTCTGTGGAAGGCACATTCTGATCTGTCAATCCCAGCACATGCTCTCTGAGCCTGGACTTTGATGCACTGGAGTTGTCAGCAGACAGTGAGCTTTTTCTTGTGCAGAGGGAAAATCAAGTTTGCCATTGTATTTATCTAAGCTCCTGGCTCGGTGGCTACTACTCTTGCTATTTTTACTCAGCCATAGTCTGTCACCACTTTTCTGGGTGAACACCTGCATTTGATTATTTGCACACAAGGCCTCAGTTTACTGCGTGTGTGTTGTCCACCCTCCTAAAACCCTCTAAGCTTATGCTAAGGGACACTGGAGGTTTTCTTTCCATGAACTGTTCCTAGAGATGGTAGAGATACTGCAGCTGTCCATTTTTCAGATCTTTGCATCTATGTTTGAAGTTCTTCACCTCTCTAAATGGATGGGATATTATGTGGACTTAATGAGAATGATGAGGGCTACCATGAGAGATGTCTGCTGACTGACCAATTGACAGTTTCCTCTCTTCATTCATGTTCATCAATGAGATATGGGCAAGGTGGGCCAGAGCCGTGTCTACAAACATACTTTGACTTAATTTACAGCAGGCTGCAGAAGGTCCACCAGGGCTATGCAACTCCCTCCCCGGTGGTTAATTTCTGTGCACAAAGAACTCAAAAGCTTCCCAGGGAACTTGGCAGCTTGTGTGCATGTACTCTATGAGCCCAATTTTCAATGCAACTGCTTACACACTAAGGCACTGATCCAACTCCCAGTGAAGCAAATGAAAAGGTTCCCATTCATTTCTCTGGCTCTTGGATCAGGCCCTGGGCTCATTTGACCATATGCCTTGTGCATACACAATGACTACCTAATTCACAACTGTATGTGTCCAAAAGTGGCCTTTGACAACTGAGCCCAATACTTCTAAATAGCAAAAGAGCAATCTGTAAGATTAGAGTACAAAACTTGTATTTTCCATTTTATTTAATTAAAGGAAATATAAATCTTCAGGAAACATCTGGCTTTCCAGAATTTGTAGGAAGCTCTTGGTTAACTCCCTCTGCATGTCTTTAGAAGAATCTGTTAGCTTGAAATAAATGTTGTATGTTAGTAAAGCAATAAACATTATTAGGAAAATTATATTTAAAGATAATATTTACATTTTGTCAAGTGAAAAATATACCTGTTGTTTACTCATACCTCATTAGGAAAAGAGGTTACTAAATAAACATAATGATATTGAACCAGTAACTGTAAAAGTCTGTTCCTAAAATTACAGTAAAATAGCATAAAAAATGTCTGCATGGACTTACAAGTAAAAGCGATTAAAAAAAAAATCCTTCAAGTTCTGTTCTATTCTACTGTGTGTTATTAGTGCAGGGACTAACTGTGAGGAGGGAAAACTGGAGGAGGGGATGCTGTAATTTTGAGTTACTTAGCCGTGTTGGCAAAACTGAGATTCTAAGCTCTATAGGAGCAGTCTGAGAAAATATTAGGTCTTTAGGTCAGAGAGTTCTCCAACAGCTGAACCAAAGAGAATTGGAGTATTCTGTAGATTCCCATAACTGATTTGGGTCAGACTGCAGGCAGAGCTCAGTTTTCAGATGTTTGCTGCCATCTAACGTCTAAATGTTTTACTGTTTGTTTCCACCTTTATAAATGTGAGTTTCATCAGACTGCTGAACTAGATCATTAGCGAAAGATGATTAGGGACAGATCAGAACACAGTCCCGCAGTTGATGCTGCATGGGTGGACAATAAACTGAATGGATCTCCATGCAAACTCAGGGGTTTGCTTGTTTCCAGATCAGGGGTAGGCTGCTTTGTTCTTCGTAGATTGAAATCTCAGGAAATCTGCAGATCCTGGCTGGTGTTTTTGATTTATTGCAAAGCAATAAGAATGAGAAGCACTTTTTTGGTATAAACAGGATATTTGCTGAATACAAAATTCAAATGTAATTACTGGAAAAAGGCTTAAATGATAACTGAGTGTAAATAAGATTTGGAAACATCTAAATAGCCCTGTTGCCTAAAATAAAATATGAAATATGAAAAGATTAAAATTCACAAAAATATTTATAATTATGGCCAACTTTAGTGCTAAAAATACAATTGATGCTCACTCCACAAGTAAGAACATATCTGAAAATCACACAGCAGCAATTTTTAACTACTTCTCTAAACAGCTTAAAAATAAATATAAATAAATACAGAACAATACCATCGATTGACTCAGTGTATATTTGTCAGCTTTCATTTCCCTAATTTCAGGTACTTTATATTTTTAAAGGAATATACAGTATTTCAAAATTTCTGTACATCTCCTTTGTAAATCCCATGAATATTAGTATTCCTGATATCCGATTGTCCTGAGCTTGAGCTGTGAAAAACAATCTAGTTATAAGATCTACACTAGCATTTTCAAAAATGCCTAAGTCCCACTTTCAAAATGACATAGGCACTTAGGAGCTCAAATTTTATTGAAAGTCAAAAATGGGTTCTGTTTCATGTTCTGTAAGCGAGTGCACTCTCATGGTTATAGACCTAACAGCCCCTGCTCTTCGCCAGCCTCTTTGTGTTCCCTACTGCTCCTATCTCCTGGCCCATTCACCCACCCCCATGCTTCCCAGGTCCTACCTGTCCCTCTGCTCATCTTCAGTTCCTGCCCCTCTCCCCCTCTTGTTCCTATCTCCCATTTTCTGCTCCCTTCCATACCAGTCCTCCGTTTCCTGGCTCTGTTCCTGCTCCTAACTTCTCCCCAACCCTGGCTTCTAGTCTCCCCTGCCCATCTCCCTGCTCTGCTTCTTTTCCCCTTTCCTCCTTTCTGCATTCATCACCCCTCCAGATTCCAGTTGCACTATTTGCTCCTTATCCTCCTTGCTGCCTGGGCTCCATCAGGGGCTGAGAGCACAGGAGACAGTTTCCCCTCTCTCAGTTCTGGGACCACAGTAAATCCTGGCAACTAGGAGTAGGAATTGCAGGGAAAGTGCTGCTCAGTTCTGCATCCCCAGGATGGAGTACTCAGTCACTCTGTGGGAACATACATACACTCTGTGAGGGGATGGAGCATATTCAGTGCAGAAGGAATCTTTGGAGAATTTAGCTGCCATCTATTGAGCATGTGTGAACTGAAATTTTCTAGACTTATAACTTAGCCAAATTTGGACAGCTTCTCATGGAAAGAGCAAAAAACATCCTTGACACCAGGGAAAATTCCCTGCCAAATTTCAAGTCCCTGCTCCAAAGCATACAAGTGTTAGCATTGCTCAATTGCATGGTTGTAGCAATTATTTTAACATGGGCAAAGCACTGTATTTATGGCTAAACAGCTTTGCTGGAGCTTCTAAAAAAATCAGTGATGCAATATTTCCATCAGCCCCAGAAATGATTTCTATGGTGTGAATAACACTAGAAAACAAGGCCGTACAGTCAAACTCCCACATTCTCTAATTTTGAAATGGAAACTATATTCCCTTAACCTTTCCACGATCTTCAGAATTCTTCTAATAGAGCAGTCCCTTGCAAATCACTTCTGTTGATTTTGAGTCATTTCCGACTAGGCCCTGAGGACTGTCATTTATAAATATACTGGGACAGCACATATGTCACATCACATCAGTGGGTTTAGATCGTAAACAATTTGGGACAAGAACCTTCCTGTGAAGTGACTCACACTTTTGGGCACTCAAAAATGATTGCTAATCTCAATGTAAAAGAAGTATCATGGGGAAGGTTTTCTTAAGGGTCTCTATGATGGGTTTGTCTATACTGCAAAGAAAAAAAACCCTGTGGCAGTTTCAGAGCCCAGATGTGGGTTTGGCTATGGCTCTAAAAATAGCAGTGTAAATGTTCTTGCTTGGGCTGGAGCTCAGGTTCTGAGACTCACCCTCCTTCCCAGGTTTCAGAGCTTGAGCAGAAACATCTGCACTATTATTTTTAGTGCTGTTATGTGAGTCCTGTTAGCCTGAGTCTGTGGACTCAGGCTCTGAGACTCTCTGCCACCAGTGGTTTTTTTGTTTTGTTTTGTTTGCAGTGCAGACATACCCTAAAGTCAGATTTTTCCCAGAAAAAGGACAGCCCCCACCCTTGTACCTGTGCAAACAGCTAGGCACAATTGTAATTCCTCTGCTCCTAAGAAAGCAGGACAGATCCCTCAAAGGGCACTCTGGGGTCCTAAGATGAAGTGGCTGTCTGGCCCCCACCCTGCCTCTGCACCAGCTAGCAGAAGATACTGCACCCCTGAAGATTCATAGCCCTAGCATGTTCCAACTTCCTACTAGGGCAGCTCTGCACTGGCTGTTAAGTTTTCAAGGAGTCCATAATACAAAATAACTTTGCATGATGGTGAAATTTGTATAATAATGTTGTAACTCATGTCCTAGATGGAGGAAAAATAATGGGAATCATGAAAAATGATGGTTATGAAGCTAGAGCAGAGCGGCTGAGTGGCTAAGGTATCTAATCTCGCTAAGTAAAAACTAATTTAAGTAAAATCCAATTTATCCTGATTACACTGTGGTATTAATGCAATTAACACTTTATTCAAGGTTATAGTACACTAATGTCTGTTTATGGTTAGACATTAATTGCTGTTAATATGGATCTTCAGTTCTGCAAATCAGCTAAAGCTTTTGTAGATTAATAATATATAATAATACACCATTTAAATACAAAATAAGGATCATATTAGTTTGCATTCATTTGTGAATACCAGTGAAGTTCTCTTTTGTAACATTCAAGGACTATTAACTTTAATTATTTTAAATTATTAAAAAAGCTTGAAGATAAACATAACATGTATAAACTTGGGTAATCACAGGCAGGATATTTTACCGCAAATGTATCTGTAATATAATTTTGAATGAACAAATTGAGATCGTGCAAATTCTGAAGCTGAATCCAGTGCATAATTGAGAAGTGTTTGAATGCTGTGTTTTGGTTCTTTGCTGGATCCTGGCTTCCAATTGAGCTAGAACATACTGAGAGGAAGTAGAACTTAGTTATAATTATTATATCGGAATCCAAGCACATTAAACAATTATGCATTTCTGTTTGACACGTATATTGTGAATATTATGTTTCTGTTCCATCTGTTTACTTCAAAGATTTAGCTGTGTTTATTTTAATTTTATATATTTGCTTTTGATTTATAAACAGTAAAAAAACCCACAGGTTTTGAGCACCTTGCCAGTTGTTTAAAATTGCAAACAAAATACAGTTTAATCAGCTCACCCCATTTCCCTAGCAGCTGCCTATAATGAAAATGTAAAACCTCCACTCATCTTCAATTCTCCTCTAGCCTTCTTCAAAGGTCAGGTGAACCAAATGTGCCGTGCAGCATGTCCTGAAAGTTAATAAAGCTGGGCTACCCGGATGGAGAATGCACTGCTAGCAATTCCCTCTGTCATCCAGAGAAGACTCTAGCATCAGTGCTTCTGCCGATTGCAACTGTCTCTCCGGAGGAGAGAAATAGGTTCTTCCCGGGTCATTTTGGGCTTTATATGTCCATGTCAATGCCTTAAAATCCACCTGGAAGCTCACAGGTATCCAGTGCAATGTCTGATGCTCTTTATAGATGCCCTGCTAACCAAAGCAGATGCTTTCTTCAACACTTCTAGCTTCTGAATTTAGTTATGATTCAGCCACTTGTAGAGCACATTGCAGTGTCTAACCAATGGCGCAGATGATGGAAGTAAGATCCATCTCCTAAGGATAAGGTTGCACTGCACCTGTCTAGGGGGATAATAATATTCCTTCTTGACTACTGCTTCTACCTGACCTAAATGCAGTGTATGGTTTGCCCAGACCCCCAACACTTGAGTTGCCAACAAATACTGAATTCCCTCAATTGTGGGGGTAGAGATAATTTCTGTCATTTCTTCTGGTTGTTTCTTCCAACCTACTAGTAGCAGTTATCATACCTAGCTCTATGTTAATCTCTTCCAATTCCCCAGCCACAGTATAGGGACCATGCTCCCTTGTGGGCAGAGAGAAGAAAAGTCATCCTTAAATCTGTTCCTGTGTTTCTTACAATGTAATCCATTGTGCCATCACTAGACCTACCATGAGTCTGGCAGGTCTAGTGATGGCACAATGGAGGAATAATGAATATTAAAATTTTACAATGGATAATTGATTGGCAGCTGGGCCCTTCTTACTATTTCTCCTCCTGTGTCCCTTCACACCTCAAGTATCATGTTTTTTTGTAATATCTATCTTATACTTTTCCCTTTTCTTTTCCCTTTCCCCCTTTTTCTTGTTTTTGCTGCCCTGGATTGTTCCCTTGCTCCCCAGATTGCAACCTGCTGCTCAGACTGAGAGCATGGAGGAGCATCCATTGTCAGCTCCGTGGGGTCAGGGCATGCATGAGTACAGCTGAACTGTTTGCTGTTAGAGCAGAGGTATGAAGCTTTGTCCAGGGTGTTGCTTCCGGAGCCTGTAATCTTCTGCACATGAGCTGTTTCCGTCGTCACCCACATTAGGGGCCACCGCAGAAGAAGGGTGGCAAGGTGGGTTTCAAGAAACTGCCCAACACTTTAACTACAGCAGCATGTTTGCAGTGTAAAGTCAGAGTGGATCCAGACTCATGCAGCTTTCTCTATCCCCTCTGCTCTTCTATCTTTCCCTGGCCCTTGTCTCCACCCTTGAACTTGTCTGGCACCTTCCTTGGTGGGGAAACATTGAGGACACCATAAAGAGTGAAAGTTCTGAGTTATTGTTTTATATATTAATATACTGTAATATCCTAAGGGAGTCAGGTGCACAATTACTATTGAATTTTAATGGCAGTTTGGCACCTAATTCCCTTAGTCTCCTTTGAAAATACTACTACTAACATTTGAATCTAATTGTAGACCAGGCTCTCTGGGTTCCTATAGTTTCTGCCCCCTGCGGAGAGCTTCTTTTTCCATTGTACTCAGGCAAGTGCTTGTGCTGATTGGCAAGTGCTCATGGAACTCCTGTGAGGATGGAATAAAAGCTGGTTGCTGGTGTCCAGTACTGGAAATACAATGGAGGCAGGAATTCAGGGAGTTTGAAGTACAACAAGGGGGACCTGAGCTTGGAGAAGATGACAGAGAGGCAGGCCCTTAATCATGATTTCTCCTTAAAATCATCCAGAATCACATGACAAACTAGTCTCCCTGGCCATAGTGTCTGTGCAACCATTTGCAATAGGATACAGGTTTTGTCACTTGGTTTTGCAAGTACGAGCGTGACTGAGGAATGACCCAACTACATTTTTTTTTTTATCTTGTGGGAAGTATGTACGAGGAGGTGGTGTCTGAGAAAAGAGGTTGTTACAAGCAGTGGGCACTGGCAATGCTACAGTGATGTTATTGGGGAAGCTGTTAAATCAAGACGTTGACAGTCAATAAGGTACAGAACTGTGAACTTTATCAGTCGTGTCTGTGGGGCATGAGGATTCACACTGCAATGACTGACCTGCCAGGGTCCTGTCCCAGGAGTCACTGGGCTAAGTCTCCAACCAGGATTGGTCTCTCAGGACTGTCTCTTAGGTTGTAACAATGTTCTGGGCAGGAATCGGTAAGGTATTTCCTACACTCATTTGAATGCTCTGAAACACGGGGGGAGGGGGGAGCTTTCGTTTAAAAGAGAGAGAAGTGCTGTGAAGATTTCAGACACTATTGTCTTACTGTGCAATGTAAAATGGTGTCTTTCTCTTTTGATTATAGTACAGATGATGGAAGCCAGAACATCTCCTTTGGCGCACTAGAGGGCACTGGAGTATTGAAGAAGGAAGGTGCTTTGTAACGGACATTCCAAAAAATAATGAATGTTTCCTGGTATGAAAAGGGGATTGGGCGGGGGGGAGCAGAAGATGGCAGAACAATGACAATTTATTATTGTGCTTCTGAATCCTCCTTTATCTTGAGCATTAAAGTTTATATAGCCCTGAGAGCATCTGAATAAACATATGTTTAGGCATGCTCTTTAGTCCCCAAACTGAATCATCTGATTTTCCTTGTCAGATGTTTGCATTTTCCTTGAATACTTTTCATTGTAAGAATTAATAGGTTAGGCTTAACATACTATTGAACAAAACTCCCACTGAGTTCCACCAACTCCTAATACTGGAATCCTGTGGAACTTGGTTTTTCAGCATCAGCACATCACTTAGCCTCTGCATCCACAATGTGAACCTAATTTAGGTTATTCTTTGTTTAGCACATGGAATTTTTTGTATAAGCGCAAACAGGTTTCATTGTCTTTATGCCTTCCCCACTCTGTATTCCCAACCATATCTTTCTGAGTTTATAGGGAAATGATATCCAGCTCTCTTCAGTTACAGAAAGAAAATAACAGCCCTCATTAGATGTCGTGACACTTCTCTGTTTCTAAAGGAATTACTCCTCTGCAGAACAGATAGCTCTTAAGGAAGCTGGTTTTAAGGAGGATGCTCAGAGGATTTTAGAAGATACAGCTCCACCATGACTTCAGGGCAGTGAGCATATTCAATGTTTGGAATTGGAAAGACTGATTTTAAAAGGAGAGGGCAACAGATATGATTGCAGTTCCCTGCATTTGCAGAGGCAGAACAAGTAACTGGCTATGTTATCACTTTCTCCTGGTCCTGTTTGCCTTTCCCCGCCCCACACTGTTCATTACATTTTAGTTTCTTTACACTTCCACTTCCTCCTCGCCGCTGCTTTTCTTCTACTTTTTAATATATTTTTACTCTGTTGACCTATAGGCCTGGGCGATGGGTATCATAGGCTGGGGGAGGCTGTGCCTCACCAACCAGCCAGGAGTGGCCCCAACCATGCTCTGCCTCCAGACCCTCTCCTGCCAGTTGCCCAGTCCCTATGTTGTGGTCCTAGCAAGGGCTCGGGCTGAGACTGGTGCTGGGGCTACACCACCCATCCTCTCGGCGCTCTGGGGCTGCGGATGCTGGGGCCGCACCACCCCACCTTCCTGGCGCTTCAGGGCTAGGGTGGGGCTGGGGCTGCACCACCCACCCTCCCTGGGCTGGGTGCACTAGCCTAGGGTGGGAGCCGGTGGCCATGGTGGGGGGGGGCTGTGGGCTTCAGCGGTGTGTGTGTACAGAAGAGGCGGGCTTCGGGGCTAGCCTCCCCCAGCTGGCAGTTCATGTGCCTCCCATGCCTATAGGCCCTGCTCCATTTTTGTGCTTTATCTCTCTCCATTTCCCACTCTTGCCTAACTGCAAGTTCTACCTTATTTCTCGTTCCTCTCTTGTCCTGTCTGTGTTCTCTGTCTCTACCTGCTTGTATTTCCAGGCCTTTTGTCTGTCTTTCCAGTCACTTCCTAAGGTCTCCTGTGCTTCACTTCCCACCAAAGACGACCTCCCACCCCAATCCCTTGCCAGGTCTTGTATTTCCCCCCCATTAACCCTCTCTAGGCTTCAGCATTCATCCTCTTCCACCTCTCCACTCTCCCTTCCCTTGGCCTGAAGCTTTTCACAGGCCTCCAAGTCCCCTTCCCACTGGGCAAGGAGCTACCATTGCTATAGCCCTCCTATCATAGCTTTCATCTTAGCTTCTCTCAGCTGTAGCCGGAAGCAGGTATGACTTCCAGTTAGTAGCTGGATGGTGGCTGACAGCATGAAAGGTAGCTGCTGGGAGGAGAGATGGCCAATGGTAATAATGCTTTGCAAAACTGAGGGAGGAAAGAGGTGAATGGCTTGTTGGGTGGCTAGATATCCTATAGTTTCACTGAAACTGGATCAAAACCTTGGTATCCACAAAACCAAGAAGGACACCACAGTGACTCCAAATTGGAACAATCCCAGTAAACAGGGATGTCCCAGCATTCTGTTGCTCAGGTGGCAATCCAGTGTGGCAATCAATGATTTTACTGAACAGAAAGCTTTGCTAGCTTTGGACAGCAAAGAGTGACAAACAAATACAATTATTTATGACACAAACATTTTTAGTTCCCAGAACCTGGAATTAGAACCTAGAGAATTAAAGCATTCGTCTTTCATTTCTATAATCTATGGTTCCAATTCCCAACCATACCAGTCTGTGCACCAGCTTAAGGAAGCTGAATCAGACTTGCTTTAAACAGTGCGGACAAGCCCAAACAATGGTATAGTTGGGATTATAAATCATTCTCTGTCCTAGGTCTGTCCAAATTCTCAGAATTGAGTGTACAAGTTTAAACATAATTCCTTGACTCCGGTCATGGATCAGTGTTTCTAGCAGTGAAAACTGACAGTAGAATTTGGGCTTTCTTAAAATTGGGTGGAAAAAGTTATATTAATATACAACTAAAGATAGAGCTATTTCAAAATGTCTACAGTCAGCTTCTCCATTCATTTAAATCTTACTGGATATTGAGTGGGTTTTCCCAGGTTCACCCATCTGACTAATCTCTTATTTTTGTTGCTGCATTAAACTGAAAAAAAGACATACCACTTCCCTAAATAAAAACTGCTCAGCTTGCAAAGACTAAACAAAGGCTGATTTCTTGCCGCGTACTGACTAATCAGTGAGAGGGGAGAAAGATGCCAGAGCTATTTTTGTGTTTGGAATCACAGACTCTAGCTTGTGATAACATTATGCTGGAATAACTCATTTATCACCCAGTCAAACTTGTTCAGTCTAAAAAAGGTTAATTAAAAATGCAGGACAAAGAGTTCCCTTTGTGAGGTAGTGATTCAGCAGCTGGAAAGTTTAGTAAAGTTTCTGTTCCCACACAAAATAAAACCACATTCAAAGGATGGCAAGCCAATAGGCTGCATATAGTATGGTACAGATGGAGAACTTTGCTTAGATATCATTCTGGTATGAAAGAAGTGATCTGTAAAGAAAGCACCGATGGCTCAGTTCGGATTGCTGCACAGAGGAATGAATAGATATAAGACACCCTGGGATGAGGTGTACAAACCCCCACACCGAAGAGGAAGGGGCTAAGGAGCCTCTGGGTCTAGGTAGCTCCACCCCAGCACACCTGAAATGCATGCACAAGCTGGAGGAGGAGCTTAAAAGGTGACCAGAGTAGCTCACTTGCAAGTAGCTAGTGGACGTAAATGGATCTATACTCTGAAGCTCTGCAAAAAGAGTACTATGAGAGGTCTAATTGCTGGGGCTTCTGCCTCTTGTTGGTCTACCCAACTTGCTAGGGCAAAGGATGCTAGGCATTTGAAAGGTTGGAGACTTATTATTTGATTTATTTTGTTATGTCTTTGCTGTTTCCTGTTGTGTGGAGAGGCTGGTAGGAAGTGACCCAGGGTGCAGGACTCAGCTATGTACCATTGGGATGTGGCTTAGAATCTGCTGGAGAGGGTGAGCTAGGTATCCTCTACCCATCCCTGACAGGGATGGTGGTGAAAAGCCTATACCTGCTACTAGGCAGCCAGGAGTAGCAAGACCCTGATCAGGGAGTCCTGACTCTGGGAATTTGGCTTGGTGAAGTTTAACTAGCCTTTGTGCAATGCTTTGGATATGTCTATGCAATATTTGGTCTTGAGTCTCCCAGCCTGGACCAACAGACTCAGGCTAGCAGGGATCATACCAGTGCTCTAAAAATAGCTTTGTATGCAGCACTTTGAAGTCATGGCTTGAGCTGGAGCTCAGGTTCTGAAGCCCAAGGAGGACTAGTGTAAGCCCTGCTAGCTTGAATCTGTCCACTCAGGCTGGGAGGCTTGCTCCCAAATTCCAGAAAGGATGGAAACAACTTGTGACCCATCTGGAGGGCTGAGTCACAGAAGGGGGCAAACCACTGTAGGGCAGGGACAATCTGTCAACAGGTGGTGCCAAGATAGAAGAGTGCCTTCTGCTCCCTTGCCTGACGACTAGATGGCAGAGGTGGGGAGTGGACCCTTTCACACACACCCTTGCATCCCTGCATAGGCTACCTAATAATAATGTGGGTGACAGTCTGGGGGAGATATAGTCTCCTCAGAGCTGCCACACCTGATTCATGCCTGTGGGTGGGATGGGGCAGGAAATGGGTGGAGCCTTGTTTTTATCCTACCCCGAAATGCACTGGCCAAATAGTCGGGTCAATGCTCTAGGGCATTTATGCTACACTAGGTATAGAGGTGGCTCAGCGCACTTCTCCTTGGAGCAAGGGGAACCCAGGAGTAAAAATCTGCATCCTGGGCTGCTCTTCACATTTTTGCTCTGGGCTCATGGGAAAGCCCCACTTCACCCCCAAGGAGCTAAAAAAAAATCTGTGAACATGTTTCAAATTGAGAGTGATGCTAACATATGTGAAATATATGTACCTGTACCTGGGAGACAGTGTTTAAAGCTTCACAAAATAGAACAAGCTGATCTGATTGTGCCCAGTGTAATTCAACAGGGAAAATATGTTCACTTGATGTTGCTAGGTTACCAGCTTTATTTACAGATAGTTAGAAGTTTCCAGAGCAGAGACATTTGAGAAGCTTTGTGAGCGGAAGTAAGAAGGGAGGGGGGAACACCCTAAGGTAGATTTTTATTTTTTTATTTTATTTTTTTAAACTACATTACACACTGAGGCCTAGTGTGAAAGAATTGGGAAGACAGTGAGAAGTAGTGCAACACAGAAGTAGAAGTGTCACACTCTAAGCAGTTCAGACTTCAGAAGACATTGTTCGATAATGAGAGAGAAAGGGTGTGGGAGTGAGGCAAACAGTGTAAATACTGTATGTTGCTTTAATTGATTAGTAAAAGATTAAAACGTGTAACCTGCTTTAGAAAGATTCAGCAGCCAGAAAAGGAGAATTGTAGAGATGAAGCACAAGAACACTACACAAATATGCCTGCTAAAGGCAGTGTGTAAACTGGTGTAGCTCCATTATAATCAATGCAGTTAAGCCAATTTACCTCAATTGAAGATTGGGCCCTTTGTCTTTTGCCATGTGCAAGAGGGAAGTGAAATCTGCAGAGAATGAGGGATGGAGACTAAGGTCAGGCTTTTTCCCAGAGTGATGATGTAGGATCAGAAAATATGAGCAGAAGCCTCTTTTTGGAAGGGACCTAGAGAACTGACAAAGCTAACCCAGATAGGATTGAAGACGTGAATTAACACAGCCATTTGCTCCTATCCTAGAGAAAGTAACAGGCAGACTAGAAGGATCCACATTTGGCATGTGTGTGCTGTAAGAGACTGGGATGAACTTCTCGATGAGGCTTGTTGGCTGACATTTTTTTTGCCTGGTCTCAACCTTAAAGTTGAATGTAGTGTTTATGTGGAAGATGTGAACAAAATCCACCTGGCCATATTGATATTATGCCAACTTCATACATATTTGCTTTCTGCTTAAAAAATGGCTTCCAGATTTATTTTTCTCTTGATTCATCTTAAACAACTCTTTTTTCAGATAAAGAAGTTACATCTGTATCTGCTCATATTTGGGCATGATTGTTCTGGGGGCACAGTGGACAGACTCCTCTCCCCACACAATGCCACACAACTTTGTGAGGTGCCACTTATAACCCCTAGTCAAGCCAGCTGACTCTGCAGGCCAGGCAATAGGCCACTCTGTAAAAATTGTGTCCTGGGCTAGTGAAACAGCTTGGCTGAAACAGAATTTGTCTCAATTTATGGAATGTGACTACACCAAACACGGATCAGAAAATATAGTCCTACCAGGACAACACTGACGATTAAAGCTCCTAGAATCAGATTTTCAGAGCCACATACAAGACTTGGACACCTCATTCTTCTTTAATCCTTTAGGCAGTTTTGAAAATGGCAGCCTTAATACCTAAATATGTGAGAAATAGGGTTTTCTTTGCTTTTGTCTATTGTTTCCCAAATGCATATTGTCATAACTATAAAGGGAAGGGGGTAACAACTGTCCTGTGTACAGTACTATAAAATCCCTCCTGGCCAGAGACTCCAAAATCCTTTTCCCTGTAAAGGATTAAGAAGCTCAGGTAACCTGGCTGGCATCTGACCCAAAGGACCAGTAAGGGGACAAGATACTTTCAAATCTTGCGGGGGGGAAGGCTTTTGTTTGTGCTCTTTGTTTGGGCGTTCGTTCGCTCTTGGGACTGAGAGGGACCAGACATCAATCCAGGTTCTCCACATCTTTCTAAACAAGTCTCTCTTATTTCAAACTTGTAAGTAAATAGCCAGGCAAGGCGTCTTAGTTTTACTTTGTTTTCTCAACTTGTAAATGTACCTTTTACTAGAGTGTTTATCTTTCTTTGCTGTACTTTGAACCTAAAACTAGAAGGGAGTCCTCTGAGCTCTTTAAGTTTGATTACCCTGTAAGGTTAATTTCCATACTGATTTTACAGAGATGATTTTTACCTTTTTCTTTAATTAATTAATTAATTTACCTTTTTCTTCTTTTTAAGAACCTGATTGATTTTTCCTTGTTTTTAGATCCAAGGGGGTTGGATCTGTATTCACCAGGAGTTGGTGAAAGGAAGGAGGGGGAATGGTTAATTTCTCCTTGTTTTAGATCCAAGGGGTCTGGATCTGTATTCACCAGGGAATTGGTGAAGGTCTCTCAAGGCTACCCAGGGAAGGGAATTAGCTTTGAGATGGTGGCAGCGGACCAGAACTAAGCTGGTAGTTAAGCTTAGAAGTCTTCATGCAGGCCCCCACACTTGTACCCTAAAGTTCAAAGTGGGGATACAGCCTTGACACATATGTAAACATACTTTGAGAAAAGAACAATAGTATAATCTTACAATACAGCAATTGCATACAGTCAGTCTCAATTACTTCATCAGACCTACTATAATTGACTCTAAAATGTTTGCTTGTTCTAACTGGCGGCTAAACTGAGGCATTTGGGAATAGCACAAATGCTGAAATCAGAGTGCTAAAACCAATCCGAGTGTAGTAATCTGAATACTGCCTGGTTACTAACACCTCCCACACATTGTGAGTCAGATATTGGACTATGCCTCTGCAATCTGATTGGCTGGAACCATTCAATTTCAGTGTGATACAGTGCTGGAGAATGAGAGAGAGAGAAGTAAATGTGTGAATAGCCTATTCTGCTGATTTGTAGCTGGCATGAACTAACATCCGTCATGTAAACATTTTGGACTCTCTTGCTTAAGAAGCTTGAGTTGTGCTGGAAAGTGGTAGTAGCTATAGGAATTGGACCAAATTCTGCTCTGTTAACTCTGCAATTCCATCTGAAATAACTTCCTGACTTCACTAGAGTTCCCCTGGTGCATGCCAGTATAACTGAGAACAGAGTTTGGCTTAGTTCATTCAGAGGCACAGAGGAGTGGGAACAATTTTTAACAGGCAGAGCTGGTGCTGCATCTTAAGGCCAGCTGGTGTGCAGTGTGAGCAAGGGCCATCACCTGACTGGACTTAGTGAAGGAATCATTGGGTGACATTGTATGGCCTTCTGGTCTCTAAGTCTGAGCTTTCATCTAGAACCCCCCCTTTGGGGTGTCTAGAGCAGTAAAGGCACTAGCATTCTGAGGACTCAGGCCATCAAATCTTGGCTGTCTCCTGCAGAAGTGTACTGGGGCTTGATCTTGCAAGGTGCTCAGCACTCTGGTCATGAACCACCTGGTTAAGTTGAAACATCTGTCTCATCCCACTTCAGTGGAAATATTCAAGTGCTTAAAGTCGATCGTGTGCTTCTGTGTTTTACTGGTCTGGAGATAGACCACCTTGCAAGATGAAACCCTACCTGGTGAAGGCACCTCTTGTGGCCTCTCCCCTCAGAGCACCCCTGCAGGGAAATCGGAACAAGCCTTTACTTTTTAGTCAGATATTTACATTAAAGAACCATAATTGTACAGGGGAACCAGATAAGGGTGCCACATTTTCAAAGCTCATTAGGTAACTAAAGATGCAAATAGGTTTCTAGTGGGACTTGGAAAAGCACCCAGGTACCTAACAAGCTGTAAAAAAATCTGGCCCTAAGTGACTTGGTCAGAGTTTTCAGTGACAGTGGAGATTGATTTGGCAAAACTGTGTTAATACTGAGGTGCCATTTCTCTAGTTTTTAGTTTGATGTGATTAATCACAAAGCAGCCCAGTGACTGAATATGGATGTTTGTATCAGATATTTGGTCTCTTCTCTGAAGTTTAATGCTTCCTATAAGGTAGTTTGCTTTGGACAAAAGCTCTTGTTCCTGTGCACCGGTCTATGGTGTTTGTTATATCCTATTTATTACAGGTGCTCTGTCAAGCACTACAATTTAGTTGGGGTCTATACTCACTGCAGCCAATTGCCTAACAAGAATACACCTTGCTTTATCAGTCAACAACAAAATCCCATTTGGAATACTACTATCTAGTCCTTTCTTTGTTCCTTTATTCTTTCTTTGAAAAGCGGGTATATATCATACTTATACATTAGCACCCAGATTCTGATCTCATGTGTAAATCAGGATACAGCCTGGAGGAATTACACTGGTATAAATGAGATCAGATTTGGGCCCAGTTACTCTGGGTTGACACTTTACTAAATGGGGACCAAATCTGGCCTCCTATGTAATCTGAAACAGAAATACACCACTAATTTTATTAATTTATTATCAGCTTTGTAAGAGATTTTGGGAATAGGGGTTTTCCCTGAACATCAAGGACTCATAAGAAATAGAAAGGCACTTGTAATGGTCAGAAATACTGATAGAAAACTTTTAGTTAGAATTTCTATATTAATCATCACTGTGGTATCAAATTTTGGGTTTTTTTTTATACAGGTAAATTAAATCTTCATGGTGAGGTCCTAGAAGACTTCACAGAACATCCTCCCCTTCTCTCTCATCCCTCTTTACAAGAGACTTCCTGGGGAATACATCTAATTTTGTTTTTAAACCCACCATTCTATTATGGTGGAAATGCTTTGTAAAAGAGAAGGAACTTCCAGGTTATTTTGAAGGTGGTTAGATTCTGGCTTAGTCTGTTGGTCTCTGGATGTTCCTCTGAATGCCTTGTCCAGGAATGCTTTCCCTCATGGGCTTTGCAAGCTGTATTTATTAGTGCTAAGCAAATACGTACAAATGTTCATGTTAAGTATCTGCTTTCCTAGGGAAACAATTGCTTTCTTTTTGTTAGGAAGCAAAATTTTGGTGGGTTGGATGGTTTTTTTTGGTGGTAAGTAAAATATTGAACTCTTTGTTTTGGCTTTGAGCTGAAAAGTTTGTGGTTATTTGGTTTAACCGTCCCCCCAGTATTTTCTGACCTTGCTGGGTCATAGTTGGAGCCATGAGCATTGATTTTGCTTGGTCCTGATTCATTGGTAGCTTAGATGAAGAGGACTCAGACCTTGAACTGATAATGGAAGTGGGCTGAGAACCAATGTAGGGATTGGAGCATATGGATGACCTGTTCATGGCTTGTCCCATTGAGAAAGCAAACAACTTCACGCTGCACCAGCTGGAGCCTTTGCATTGCATTTAGCTTCAGTCCTAGGTGCAGTTAAATGCAATAAAGTAGTGTGGGGGTGACAAATGAGTAGATTGCTGTGGACAAATCTTCATCCAGGAGGAAAGAGCAAAATTTCATTAGCTGCAGATGGAAACCATCTTTGCTATTAATGCTACCTGATCATTATGAGGTTAGTGATGAGGTGCATAGGACCCTGAGTCTTTGCACCAATTTGCAGAATGTGGAGGCCTCCTATTTGTACTTTCACTAGCCCGGAAAGTGCAGATCTCTTTTACAGGAGATTTCAATATTTTTAGGGCTTCTTGAGTTGCAATGGCTGTGATGGGGCAAACCCCATCAGAGTGAGGTATTTCATAAAGCATGGGCTAACTTTTAGAGTTTCTGCCTCTGCAAGTTGCTTTGTACAGTACATCTTTGCTATAATGAATGTTTTGGGATCCAAGCCTTTTTTTTCTTTTATTGCCAGGGGTTTGTTATAGCAAAAGGGCAATGAAAATGGACCATAAACTGCTGGAGTAAGTTAATGAGGTGGCTTTGGATAAAGGTGTTAACTTAATTAATAATTATTAATAATAACTAAGGCTACAAGTTGGTCACAGAGGGTGATTTTTAGGTGACCTCTGCACTGTCAGTCCCCGTAGTGGCAGGGTTCCAGCTTCAGTGGATAAAATTTGTGCACATATGTGCAACCTCCTTTCTTTTTTTTCTCCCTTTCTCCCTTCCCCCTCTTTTTAACTGTTGTTGGGATCCAGGGACCAGGTTCATTATAGGCAAAAGTTTGTAATGAAGTGTGTTCTACTGAGAGTGTACTGTATCTAGCTGAGCTTTCCTAAGTTCCAATTTACACTGACTGAGGATCTGGACCTTCATGTTTCGTTTTTTCTCCAGGAACCCAGCACAGTTTTGTTTTGTTTTGTTTTTCTCAATTAATGGAGATATCCCATCTCCTAGAACTGGAAGGGACCTTGAAAGGTCATCGAGTCCAACCCCCTGCCTTCACTAGCAGGACCAAGTACTGATTTTACCCCAGATCCCTAGGTGGCTCCCTCAAGGATTGAGCAGGCCAATGCTCAAACCACTGAGCTATGCCTCTCCCCCTCTCTTGAATTGAAGTGATGGGAGAGAAGAAGAAAAGAGAGCTGCACCTCTCCCAAAATCCACATAAAGTCCCTTAAATATACATATAATGTAGTAACAAAGGCTTTTACTCTCATTTTGTGTTCAATCTCAAATGGTAAAATTGCTGCCCTAATACTGTGCAAGCCGCAGGAATAATTTTCCAAGCAAGAGAATCATTTTCCTATTCAGTGCTTTTTCCTTTAAGATTCTTGTGTTGTGTGTGCTAGTTTGGAGAAGTAATCAGATGCAAGTAGGCTACCCTTATGTGAAGTGAGTTTAAGTAGGGCAACTTCTGAAACTTGGCTTTCAACACATTCTCAGAAAAAAGAAACTATCCTTAAATTTCATGCAAAGTAATCCTGATGTTTTGTATTATATTATACATGGTATACTACTAAGTTTAACCACAATTCTAAAGAAGAGGCATGTTTT